TAGCCTACTTGTTTGAAAATTTGAAACAATCACGCCCCACAGTTTGGTTGTTCTTTTAGTAATTTGATACTTACAAGGCAAATAACACGTGGACTACGTTCCGGTTTTATGTTTGTGTGCAACATGTGTGGTTTTAAAGAAACTGTGTGGTCTGACCTTAATAACTAATCGTCATTGGACATCAACGCAGCAACGGTGACTGGTTCCAGGACGGGTGGAGGCTTTGCAAATTTAACAAAGTTTTAGGGGCCATGAACGTCCGGTGTATGGGGTTCAATACTTACGAAAAGTACAAACATGTTATCTCCAAAGTTTGGGAAAATTCTGCCCTTGCAAAATGAAGATTGTAGCAGAAGAAGAAGCAGTCCTCGCGTGACAGCGTAACGACGTGGACAAGGCGTGCCCTTGCTTACCGTGATGGCAGACGGGAGGTGGTCGAAGAGATGATACAGAACCAACTTCAACTCTGTATCTGGCGTGGTAAGTGTATTATTAGGTGGTGTTTGCGAATGCAATGATAACTTCTCGCCTGCGCTCGTTCGCCTCATTCTCCCGATATAAGACAGATTTAGATGTGTGGGCTTGTGACGGCTACCAAAAAGTAAATGTGTGACTGGCAAAATGTAATAAACAACAAATAATCAGTTCTCTACAAAATACCTTCCTCGATTATTATTATTGGTTAATATGGTATCTTTAAAATACCCCCATCGTATCAAACCTGCCGACTAAGCATATTTCCATTTGTCATAATTGATTTTCAATTAAATCTATTTAAATTTAAATAACATTAGATGTAACGAGTACCTAAGGAAAACTGCAATAAAACATAATATAGAGGGTGATTGGTACTCAGTGTGACAAATTTTTTGTGTGTAAGTAAATGAAGTGTGATGATACATATAACAGGTTCCAAGTCTAAAAATTAGCTTCCCAAAAAATTATTTTATGTTTTTTAAACTTAATACAGCAATTTATCAATTACCTGTATATGAATTTGAGTAGTTATTTATATAGATTTTCATTTTTAATGTACTGATGTAGTATTTACAGTAAAAAATGGAAATTTTTAGATGCCCCTTTTCAGTTTTTTATGTTAGCTGGATATTTTGTAATGCTTAATGATATCAGTTTGGTGGGTAATGTATCTTAAAGAAAATATCCCACCATTCTTCTTAACACTATTCTTCTTATACAGGGTGACTGCCGGGAACCGGACGAATTTGCAACAGCTGTTACATTGTTGCTACACATGCTAGGGAGATTGAGGTTATGTCATTGTTTTGAGTGAGCTTTACCATTTTGGTCACGATGGATCAGTGGTCAGTTCAGCATCGTGTTTTTGCATATGACATTTATTAAAATGACGAATCCGTTATCAAAACACAGCGTATCTTCTGACGCCACTTTAATATTGCGCGAAATGACACGGTTCCAAGCCGAAATACATTGCTAAGATGGGTGCTCAAGTTCAGAACAACAGGAACAGTATCAAAGAAAAAGCCACCCAGTCCAGCAAGAACAGTGAGAACACCAGACAACATCGCCACAGTGAGAACTGCTTTGATGAGGAGCCCGGGTCGCTCTGCACGAAGACACGCACAAGAGCTACGCATGGAGCGCGATTCTGTCAGAATAATTTTAAAATCAGATTTGAAATTTCATCCCTACAAAATACAGGTGGTACAGCAACTGAAAGAGACGGACAATGGACAAAGAGAAGATTTCGCAGTACGTATGCAGGTGTTGTTTACTGATAATCCTGAAGTAATGATGTTAATGAGCGACAAAGCTCACTTCCACTTAAACAGTTCAGTGAACAAACAAAACTTACGATATTGGGCTCCTGAAAATTCATGTAACTTTCATGAAAAACCAATCCACTCTCCAAAAATAACGGTTTGGTGTGCTGTAGGCCACTTTGGGATAATTGGTCCGTATTTTTTTGAGGAAAATGGAGTCACAGTGACAGTGAATTCTGCACGCTATGTTCACATGTTGGAAACATATCTCAAGCCACAACTTCGGAGGCAAAGAATAAACGTGAAAAATGTTTACTTCCAACAAGATGGGGCCACAGCGCATACTGCCGCTGCATCGATGCGAGTTGTAAAGAAGATGTTCCCTGGCAAGTTGATTTCACGTTTTGATGACGTGCCGTTGCCACCGAGGTCACCAGATTTGTCGCCCTGTGACTATTTCTTATGGGGGTATTTGAAAGCTCGTGTCATGTTCACAAACCACGAACATTATTGCAGCTAAAAGATGCAATCACCGAAGAGGTGAATTTGATTGGACAAGACATGTTGATGAGAGTGCGTAATGATTTTCTCCAGAGGTTGGAAACCTGTATCCAGGTTAACGGCCATCACATGCATGATATCATCTTTTAGAAATAAACCCAAACTAGGATAAAAGGTTCCATAAAACATATGTTTTTTGAAATGCTATGTTTTCACCAATATATATTCAACAATTAAATAATTTTACTATATAAAATAAGGTTGTACTATTCATTTAAAAAACGTCTGGTTCCCGGCAGTCACCCTGTATACATTTAAGAAGAAATGTGTGATTACACATTTTTAATAGTGTATGTGTTGTACTGTTTTATTCTGACAGTTATATCCTCCTGGAATTATGGAAATATTAAATTTACTTAAAGTGAAATTTCAGTAAAATATACATGCAGGCGATTTTTTAATTGTTAAACATGAAATTTTATTTTAAAAAGATTTTTTTCTTACACCTAGATAATAAAGACTATACAAATTAAATTTATGTCTTTGATTATTAGTAATGTTTTTAAAGTTTTAATTAGTGTTTGCATTATTCCTTACCGTACCTAAAAGTAAAAAAATTTATACTTTACTGTCAACGTAACTTTCAATCAGGTTCCCTTTTTAATATATGTGTACATGATTTTATCTATATAAATAAAATTAGAGTTTTGTCTGTACATTGCTCAGAATCATAAACTTTTAGGTTATTTTTACGTTTTAAACAAACCGAAACAAGTCTCATCTAAATTTCTGTCTGTCTTCGTGTCTGTTACGGCCTAAGAGCCATTTTACGCGGCCTTCTCCTGAAAAACTAGAGTACCTATCAAGATCCAAATAATTTTAATGTATTCACTGGATTGGCGAGATTGTCTTTAGCCATTAAAATATGGCGTCACTACTTTGTATATAAAACGACGGACGTTTAAAAACCCGACTTCGTGCAATTTTTGTCAAGTTTTCTCCCAATGTCCAATGTTCATCACTGAATCATCAATGAAATAACGAACAGCTGTACAGATCAATATTATTTTTTCTAGCTGTCACTGATATGTTTACATTAAAGGTTGTTTACAAATACCGCAAACATTTCCGATCACATTTTGAAAGCAAAATCCAAAACCAAGTGAGATTAAAAACTATTTTCCTTACATAAAGGATTTTATTAATCGCAAGTTCAATAATGTGTAAAATGAAATAGAGATTCTATGTGTATAAAATTGCTCTGAAGCTTCGATAACCGGGAAAAAGACCTTGAAACAGTGATGTATAGGGCTGGGAAACTTACGTTTATTAAATTGACGGCGTTTCAATGGCGGTTGTGTAAAGCGTAAAGTGAAAAATCATAACTGCAGAGGGTGATTGTAACAGAGGTTTACGGATGATGCTAAACTCGCTTTTCCAATGTGCCACTTTCGGTTTCTACTGACCCCGGTTGCTACAATCGCTAGACCATACAGCCAATAGGCCAATAAGACTGTATCTTGGGTACATAGCCTACCCAATTATTCATAACAACCTATTCGACGACGATCCTTGATACCGGTACTTTTCCCTAGAATACATGGCCTAGGTACCTACTTAGGAAATCAAATTAAAAACTTAAAAAAAAAACACAACATTGTGTGATTTTGTTCACATTTCCTTCTACAGTAATATTAGCTACATATACCAAACATCGTTAAGAGAATATGTCATATTCTAAATAACAAAAAGCTGTTTGGATGAGATTGTTTGGTTCAAACTGTCACCAAAGTTTTTATATATGTTTTGCTTTTTCTTTATATGTCATAATATTAGGTTTAGATATAATAGTTTTGCCAGCACGTCTGAAAATATGCAAACCAACTGCTGTTCTTTATATAATAAGGTTTCTACTTACTACTCCTATAAGATCCCCGTGCGTAGAACGGGCACACAGCTAGTATGTATATACAATTTGTTGCATTAAAATAACAATTTGAATTAGGTATAGATTGAGTTTAACAAATGATTTTCCCACACACATATAACAAAAACGTACAGTATGTTAGGAAATTCCTGAGTAGTTTGTTTATACTGTGAGTTAATGAATAACACTTGCACCTTACAGAAATTGTCAAAAATAATCGTATAATATAGGTCCTTGGACATTCTACATGCCTCTTGAGTACTGGCATGTTACAGGTTCAAATTAAATTGATTGTAAGTGGATCTAGTAATGGTATATTTCACTACTAGTCACGAAATAGGACTTTTAATCACACTAAAGCTGTTAAAAATATAGACTATATTTCATAGTCTGGTATTTTTTATAATATAAGTAAACACAGCCCTGTAGTCAAGTTGATTTGCGCCATTCCTTTACTAGTAGTGGAATTTACGAGTAAAATTTGGTAAAATATTAAAGCTATAGGAGAATTGAGAATCAGTGATGCAGAATGCATACACAACACGGACCAAGGCGACCTCTGTCGCTTTGTCTCTCAGTTCAGTGGGTTCCCGCCACCCTCCCTTGCGGAGCGAACTATTTTTGTTGTGACTCAACTTTGTGGAGGATTCTAGTTCAATCCGATACTGTCGCTGTGGAGCGCGCTGGCGTCGCCTACAAACTTGCCGTTAGGGGGAGCGTGCCCTTAATAATATAGATTAGTCTGATATCCTGGCCTCTAGGGTTTAAATGGCAAAGAAATTCAAGGATTGAAATTTAGTAAATTTAGTAACAAAACATTACTAGACTACCTATGATGTAGATAAGTGTGTTGTCACTCATGGCTGTTGCCACTGCCATGTTGTCAGGCAGACTAATCCTGGCCACCGACTCCCAACTGCAGATAGCCTGGCGGTAGCAGTAGATCTGAGGTCCAAACAGGTATATATCCTCTCTATAGACACAACAGGGAGCTGAATAGAGGGTTGTGGGCAGTGGTGCACATGTCTCCCAGCATTCTGTATCAGAGATAACCAATATTCCAAAGACGCACAATGTTATAGGTTACACTCATTAGTACACTTTAGTGGGAATAAAATATCATTACCACCCATCTCCCACAGGGTCCATACTGGGTGGCTGAAAAGTAACTTGCACCTCTCCTTAATTTTTTAACTATTTGAGATATTTGAAATTGGTTTGCGGCAACCGATATAAGAAGCTACAATAATGATGATTATTTTGAAAATGTTGTCCTTTAGTGGGGTAAATGGCACCCTAAAACTGATAGAGATTGCTGATAACAACAATTATGGGAAGTTGGGTATTTTCCAAAAATTTTTACTAGCCACTTTTTTTACGCCCTCATCCCCACAATGCTTTTACGAATACAATGCTTTTTAAGGCTTATTAAACGAAATTTTGCGTTGCCATTTTGTTATTAGTGGTCCCATTTTTATTTCCTTTATGCAATTGTTTGGTTTTATCAAGACCTGTAAAATGATACCAATCTCAAATACACTTTCCATTTGAAATTTTTAGCTAACGCGTACCCCAGTGGCCGATTCAGCTTTAGATTGGAGGGGGGACGAGATTAGAGCTGAAGACCCCCCCCCTCCACATCGTCATTGTCTCCCGCGGTCACGGCAAAACCCTAAATAACCCCCACATCATCATTGTCTTCCGCTCCACGATCGCGGCTAAATCATGAAACACTCCCGTGGTCCTGTAGATATTATCGTCGTTGTCCGCGTTTGCGGCTAAATTCTGATCATCTCCCACTCCCACAGTCACGGTAACGTCATCATCATTTTTGCCGATCGTGACCAAATTTTGTCCATTTCCCGCAGTCGTATGAACACCATCATTGTCTCCGGTGGTCACGGCTAAACCCTGAATAATTACCGCAGTAACTAACACCATCATCGTCTTCCGTGACTGCGGCAAAATTATGAACATCTCCCTCGATCTTGTAGACATTGACATTATTATCGATTATCGTCGTCTTCCACGTTTGCGGCTAAATTCTAATAATCTCCTGCGGCCATGAAGACATCATCCTTGTTTACCACGGTAACGGAAACGTCATCAACATCTTCCACAATCGCGTTACAATTCTGATCATTTGCAGCGGCAGTGTAGGCTATGTCTTTGTCTCCCGCAGTAGCCAAATACTGAATAACCCGCGCAATGAAACATCAGCATCGTCTATCTCGATCGTGGCAAAATATTGTTCATTTCAGTCTGGACATTAGAGGACTTGCTACAAAAGAAGAACAGACTACACCATATTCTCAATGACACAAAACCAAGCATTCTAGTTTTGACTGAACACGTACTGAAAAAACAGAACTACAAGCTACAAAAATTCCCAGCTACTCTTTAATCACCAACTTTAGTAGGGAAGAACATAAACTTGGAGGTGTAGCAATATATTCCAAGGAAACCCTTGCTGATACAGTATCAGCTATTGACATATCGAACACATGCCAGGAGCTAATTTTTGAAGCAGCAATGATTCGCATGCAGACAAATCTGTGCCTGCTGAAATCACACCAAGAAGACACCTCCCAAAGATTTGTAATGAAAAGAAGCCTAAACAACACGGGTCACCTCCATCTACAAAATTGGGAACATGTTTACTCTTCACCCAATCTTGAAACCTCCTACAACAAATTTCATAATATTCTTCAAACAGCACTGGATTATACATGCCCATTAAAGAAAACTAAAATTAGTACAAACAAAAAACATATTAAGTACTACGATCCTGAAGCAAAATACCTTAAAGCCTTAAAGAGAACTTTTTGAAAGCTCTGCAAAAGTTTGAGTTAACAAACAGAAATGAAGACAAAGTAGAAATGATTAATAGAAAAAGGATATACAACATGAAGATGAAACTAAGAAACCTAAAAATGTCCTCAACAGCTAGCTTCATGGAACAAGCTGACCAACAAACCAAAAGCGCTATGGCAAGTAATAAACAAGGAAAGGAAAGGAAAATGTGAAGAGAAAACCCTTACAGAATCTATATATATAAAATCCAATGTATGTTTGTTTGTTTGTTTGTCCTTTATGGACTCCGAAACCGCCAGACAGATTGTAGTGAAACTTTCAGGCATTATTAAGCATTATTCAAGGATGGTTTGTGTAAAGTTTCGTGCAGATCTGTCAAAAGGGCTCCGCCCCAGTGGCTCTGGAGTTTCGCATGTTAACCTTATGAGTACTCATATTTAAATGGAATTAAAGAATCTTAACAGCTTGTTCAACTAAACAATTTGATTCAGTGATGTTCAATAGCATTAAAAAGTGAATAGGTTTACCAACAGGGTGCAGCACTATTATTTTTTTAAATTTATGACAACTGCTAATTTGCAACCAAAAGGTGAGTGAGCGTAGCGAACGAACTTCAACCAGGACGTGATTGAGCCATGCAAACGAGCTCATCTTGAAAATGAACGAGCATTTGACATAAAACCACATTAGGACAGGACAACGTCTGTCGGGCCAGCTAGTTAGAAATAAATGGCAAACTCACAAATGACACAAAAGAAATGGCCAAACACTTCAACACATTCTTCTCAAATATAGCAGAAAATACCCTTAACCAAAACAGAGCAATCGTTATAGACCCTGAAACAGTGCTGAATGGAGAGGAACCAGTCTGTACAATACACCTTACCTTAACTTCAACATCCTATGAAGAAGTTAAAACGATAATAAACTCCCTAAAAACCAAAACATTAAGTGGAATAGATGAGTTTTCCTCTATGATGATAAGCACTGCTCTCAAGAACTCATCTCTCCTCTGGTTAATCTTACAAATAAATCATTTAAAGAAGGCAAATTCCCATCTGCCATAAAAGTCAGTAAAATATACCCCCGACGTAGCAAACCTGCCGACTAAGAGAATTTCCATTTGACCGAAGTGATATTCTATTAAATCTATTTATATAACATTATGTTTAACAAGTACCTAGGTTTGCTGCTACAATGAAACTAATAAAGTGTGTTTTGTAGTAAAATATTAATAGCTTAGTATAAAATAAATAAAATTGCCAATTTTAATCAAAATATATATTAACAAGCAAAATACAAAATTTTTCTCCACAAGAATAACATGGGAAATTTTAATTTACAATTTTTTTGGATTTTCTCCGTTACCAATTACGGTAACGGCTGCCACTAATAAGCTGCAAACTGAGGAACCATTAACCTTTTTAATACTTTAATACTTTTTCTTTGAAATGGCGACCATACAAAGTAGGTATTTTAAGCCAAGTATGAATGGAGTTATGTATGGAGTATGATGAGTGACGCGATCTTGTAGTCTTGTTAGTGACTAAGGCCGACATATTCCTTAGACACAGCTGTTAATTAATAGCCCATACAGCTAATGGCGACTAAGGGACCTACAGTTTATAGTGGAATCCGAACCACATTTCTTCCTTGGTATATATACGAATTGGTCTAATTATCAGGATAGTACTGCGGATAGTCGTAGTACTCACCCGTGCGGACGTTGATCCACACAAGGGAGTATCACATCCACAGTGCATGCCTATAAATATCCACAATTTATAAAATTTGTTATAAGATACCTGACCACCTGAGAGACCTGACTGGCAACAAGCTACGCCAGGAGTTAAAGAAGTGGCTAATCGCAAGACCATCCTACTAAATAAAGGATTTTTATGAAAATTATGGAAATTAACACGTACAATTCACTATTGTATTGACATTGACACTATTGTAATTCTTAACAAATGAACAATTTTTTTTTTTTTAGGGTGAGGAAGGAAAATGCTTTTACGCACACAGGTAGCCAGCCTGTAGTGTGAGACTCCTGAATTTATCAGACTACTCACTAAAAAACCCCCTCTGCTATGTTGGACACAGACCTGGAATTGTTTGTCACATTACTTCAAGTCAGGCCAACATGTGACCTAAGCCCACAGGGCTCGCACCGTTTTCTGGCATTATTTATTTATTTAATTTTTTTTTTTGACCTACACCGCATCCCGGTCGAGGTCGAGCTTCTTGGCGCGGAGAACACCCTGGATGTAAAGTGACACACAGGTCCAATTGTCCTCACCCACCATCATCTTCGGTATGACCGTGTCCACCGACAGCAGTCCTACGAACTGTTGAGCCTCCAGGCGGGGCCTTTCCCAATGCTGGCAGTGGATGAAACGAAGAAAGTGTGTTCCACGTCATCGGGAATGCCTGGGCGGTATATGCAATCGGGTGACACGGCTTTGCCCATCCTGAACAAGTACAACACTTTTTCCGGTGTTGTACGACCGGAAAAAGCCGTAACCCGTCAGAAATTGGGTGAGGTAGAAGTTCACCTCTCCGCACTGCCGATTAACCCAAGGTTGGACCTGTTGTATCAGTCGCCTGGTTCAGAGCCCCCTTGTCTCCTGTTCCCAGCTCTCCTGCCACAGCTGGAAGGTCCGGGTGCGTTCTTCAATTCTTGCCTGGTCCTCACCACGGCGCTGATAAATTGCCTTCCTCTCCGCCGCCAAAAGTTTGACGGGGATGACTCCAGCAACCAACAGGACGGCGGGTTCGGACACTGTTCGATAGGCAGATGCTACCCTTAGTGCTGCCTGACGCTGCACTCGGGCGAGCCGCATCCTATATATCTCCTTATTGAGAGCGTCTGCCCAGACTTCCGCACCGTACAGGAGCACGGACTGGACCGCAGACATCAACAGCCTTCTGCGACTGGACCGCGGACCTCCGTCATTGGCCATTAACCGACTAAGGGAAGAAACCATTTTAGCGGCCTTGTCCGCCGTACGGGTGATCTGGTCTCGCCAGCTGAGCTTCCTGTCCACCATGACCCCAAGGTACTTTGCGGCATGAGTGGTTTGGACTTCAACGTTCCCCACCATCAACAATAGGATGGTGTCAATCCTCTTTTTAGTCAGAATCACAATCTCAGTTTTGCTCAGAGCGAGTGAGAGACCATGTTATGCCATCCATGCGTTAATGGTGCGCATGACTCGATTTA